CAGAATCAATTGACCAAACACGTATTTATCCAACATCAAAATGTGTTGTTGCTGATATAAATCCAAATATGCTTGCTGTTGGTAAACAACGTGCTATTGATAATAAATTTCATGATCGTATACAATGGATAGAAGCTAATGCTGAAGAATTACCATTTCATGATGAACAATTTGATATGTATACAATAGCATTTGGTATAAGAAATTGTACACATATTGATCGTGTTGTATCAGAAGCATATAGAATATTAAAAAAAGGTGGAAGATTTCTTTGTTTAGAATTTAGTCAAGTTAATAATACATTATTACGTTATTTTTATGATCAATATTCAAAAACTTTTATACCACCAATGGGACAAATAATAGCAAATGATTGGAAATCATATCAATATTTAATTGAATCTATACGTGTTTTTCCTAAACAAAATGAATTTGTTGAACTTATAAGTTCATGTAAATTTCGTTATGTTAATTATGAAAATTTATCGTTTGGTATTGCAGCTATTCATTCAGGATATAAACTTTAGAAAGTTAAATTTTTCTATATTTTAGATTAACATTTTTAGAAAAAAAAAATAAAGAGAATAATTATGGCAGGTGCAAGTGGTCGACGATTTTTTGTTGGTGGAAATTGGAAAATGAATTATTCAAAAGCTATTTTAGAAAAAATTAATAATGCATTGAATAATACAAAAGATACTGATGGTAATAATAGATTTTGTATGAATTCAAGAGAAAAGATATTTTTTAATTTTTTAGTTGATATCGTATGTGCACCACCGGCTCTTTTTATAAAAGATTTTGTTTCATCAAAACCATCGCATGTTCAAGTAGCTGCACAAAATTGTTATCATGCTAAGGAAGGTGCATTTACTGGTGAAATTAGGTAAGAAAAAAAATTAAACGATTTTATCTTTTAGAATTTTGAAAAATATGTTTGATTTTCTTAGTCCGGAAATGTTGAAAGAAGCTGGTTGTAATTGGGTTATTCTTGGTCATTCAGAACGACGAACTTTATTTCATGAAGATGATGAAGTAAAGGAAATTGTTAATAAATTTGTTTATGATTCTATTGAAATGATTTTTCGTTTTTAAGTTTTTGAAAAAGAAAATTGATTATGTTCTCAATAAAACAGATGTTAATGTTATTGCTTGTATTGGTGAAACATTACAAGAACGTGAAGCTGGTAAAACCAATGAAGTCGTCGAACGACAAGTTAAAGCTTATCAAGGTATGTTTACAGTTAAACTAGAATTTGTAAATATAGAAGATTTCAAAGACTGAGATAAGTATATAGAGGTTAGGATATGTTACATGGGATTCCTAACAACAAAATGGTGATTAGATAATCGTCGATTATTTGAATGCAAAACTATAGCTGGTTTTTATATTCAATTTGAATAACATTGAAACAGATGAGTGTGATAAATATTTGATGAAACTCATGCAGTCTGCTGTTTTTCTTCTGAAGAAAGAATATAACTTTTCAAACTACAGAGTATCTTTACGAGAGACTAGTATTTCAGCCGGGACTTTCGATCCGAGCTCAAGTTTACTTCAATAAATAATATGCATAAAAAGCTGTATTTCTATGAATAGTTGATACATTGCGTAGTGTTCAACAGTATTGCATTTTGATCACACTATAGTTATAGAGTTCTTCTGAGCATTACGCTGTGTACGAAGTAGTTAGAGCGATACAGTTTTTTTTTATAGAGATCGGTGAAGACAACTGGAACCGAAAATTTATCAAAATTTCCGAGCAGATCAAAATTCTTATGAATCATTTTCGTCATCGAAAACTTTCATAATCAGGCATATATTTTAAAGTGTGACCGAAATATAGTTAAGATGATATGTTTCAAATCAGTAAATAATCGACAAAGTGTAAATAGGCAAGTAAAGAAAGTATATAACTCAAATTAATAGAATATTTCATCGTATTTATGCAAATAAAATGAAATTTTTTCATAAATTTTGTGAAACACGATCTAAAAGGAGTATTGAAGTATAGAAGTAAAAATTTGGACTACC